TAGATGCAATGTTCCATAATACCCTACTGTTCCATAACAGACCTCTCTACCCTACTCCAATGAATCTCATTATCTTGCAGTGAATATCGTTAACTGGTAGCGGTTAGGTGTACATGGCCTATGTACCACCTGGCGGTCCCTTTGATATTACAGTAACTATGGTACAGCTATTTGCATAGACCTTGCAAACTGCCAAGTAGGTGTAATGTGACCACACAATGCAAGACACACCTCAATTTAGACAGTCCCTTTAAAGTTCATAGATTAGTTTATAAATTGGTTTGCAAGGTCAGTGCAATTTGCTGTACATGTACACATGTACAGTACATGTAGTTGGAATTGGGAGGGTGTTTATTCAAACAATTATGGTGCATGTACATGTACATGTACATGTTCATTCAAAATACAGTGACTTTTAAACTTCGAAAATTAATTGGGGCGAGCATGAGCGAGACCCACACTAATCTGTCTAGGTCTATTTGCGTTACGTCTTGTTTATGAACGGAAGAATACGAAAATTAAATTAGTATACTATTATTGATAAATTTGGACCACGTGGGCAAAATTAATTTAGAGGGTGTGGTCAAAAAGAGCAAGATGGCGGAAATTTTAACGTGACAAACTCAGATTGAGTTTCTAACAGTTAGATAAGAGAGAGGGGCTGTCTAAAGCATCTCTAAAGGCTGAAGAACTTAAAAGCAGTTTGATTTAAGACTCCTCTAGATTAGTCCTCTCATTAAAAGAATTAAAATTGTGAGAGAAGCTTGATTAGAAGTTGTCACATTTTCTCAAAGTATTAGGACAGTTCATCCTTGTCACTTTTACTAGGTCATTTTGGTCAGTGGTGTTAAATAGTGGGTTTGCTCTGTTCAGACCACAGGATGGGGTCTGAATATGCATGCACGTTAAGAGCTGGATTGATTTTATTTCAGTAGTTTTATTTCAAAAAGTGGGAGCTTGATTAAAAGTTTAGCTTGGCACATTTTTTCAAAGTGACAGGATAGTTCATCCTTGTCTCTTTTACTGGGTTATTTTGGTTGTGTTAACTGGTGTGTTTGCTCTGTTCAGACCCTGGCCATGAGGCCAGGGTCTGAATATGCATAATGCATGCAGGCTAAGAGCTGGATTTATTATAATTTTAATCTTCTTATCAAACAATGTGAATTGATGGCTCGCCCCCTCAATGTTTACATTCACCTAGTTAATAACGTACATTGTACATATATATAGATCATTTAAAAAGTCAAGTATCACTCACTTGTTGTTGAATTGGAACTTCAGTTGGTTTTGTGTTAAGTGTTTATATTTCTCAGAGAGGAGAGTCAAGAATTCAGTTTTAAGAACAGACTCCAGGACTGGATCAAAATCATTAGCAACATGAATCACAAAGAAATCATCTTGCAAGGGACTGAGAGAAAAGAAAGAGAAGAGAAAGTTAAAGAAGGAATATAAAGTATTGGCAGGAAAATAATATTGGCAGATTGGTCGTATGCTTAATTAAGCAACCACCAAATTATTTTGCTTCATTTTGACAGAAGTTATTTTGAAGAATGTTTTATCTGAGAAATTTTATATTAGTGACCATGTGTCATTGGGCATAATACTTTCTGCTGTACAGTGAGTATACATGTACATGTAAAATGAAGCTCATAATTCATTGAAGTTGATAATGATTACACTATAATAATTACCTCATAGATACAGCTGTTATTGTCTCAAGAGGAAGTTTCCTTTTCACAACTATAACAAGCTGACCTTTATGTGATCCCTTCTTTATCTATCAAAAAATAAAAGAATACATGTAACTATGACTCAAGCACGTAGGGCAGGATCATCAGCAAACCCGAGATAATCACCAACAAAATTCCTATTAATACTCAACCTCTTCCTATCCTTCTTATTCAACAATATACTGTATAGCGCTTTAATTTGGCAGAGTTTTATTTATTTTGGTGATTGGCAGTTTGCAAGCAGAATCACCAATATTAAAACCGCCAATCATTTATGTGCATGCTCAGTAATGCATGTGTACACAAAAAATCACCAAATTAAAAACCGCCAATTACAATTTTACAGCAAAATAAAGCACTGCAAAAATAAAGCACTATACGGTAGAGATGCTATAGAGAGGTAGTCAGGCAGGCCTGTCCAAACCTCTCTTTCATAAAACTTATTATACTTGTAATGTTTAGGGCAGCTACACGGCAGTGAGTTTTTGACAGCTTGAGAATTTAATAGTGTTTTTATAGTCAATACGAACTGAAAACTCGGACTAAAAAGCAATAACTAAAAAGTTGAATAAAAGCAATAAGCTATATAACTGGCAAGTACATAAAATAATTAATGATAATTAAATTAATTAATGAAAGTTAATTAGATTAAGACAGACTATTATACTATTGACGATTAAAAATAATTTGTAAGCAGGTACACTGATGTAATACAATTCATAATGCACCTAATCATACAATACCAATGAACAATAATATTGTTTCTGAACATCAGGAATCTCGTTAATAATCTCCTTGTAGTCACACTCGAGTCACAAATAAAACTGATTTTTATCTTGACCATCTATGTCATGCAAAACATTTCATAGCACCAAGAATAAATCAATAATTCAACTCACTGAATGACTTGTACAAAGTTTCCATGACAGACGTAGGCTGCATTTATACTATCCAATATTTGACAGCCCTTGACAGCCCTTGTTAGCCCTTGTTAGACTCCTTGGCCATTTTGTCCTGGAACAATAATATTTTTAACTCCGGAAAAAGTGAAAAATTGGGAGGGGCTAGATAGCTCAGCGCAGCCATAGATAATAGAGTAAATGAAAGGGATTGGAAACGGGGGCGTAGGCTAGTTGATGTTGCTATTGGTTACCGGCCCAATACCTGGTTAATTTCCCATCTCCTCCATTAGTGAGGCTGTGCTGCAAGGACTTCGAAGGATATTTATGGAAATCCAAGAGGACGCTTACTTATGATATACCTACCGTTCCATATAGAAAGTTTAGGACTACCTGCAGCAAGGTTTTTACATCTACAACGCTATTTTGCAACGAGTTATAGGTACAACAAAATTTTTTCATTTTTCGCCCTTTTTCTGTTGTAACAAACTCATGCTTCATGGATTCTAACTCTAACTAGTATCATTCCATATGCAAATGAAAGCTCTTTCATATGATTATAAAGATCTTGTATCTTACTCAAGCTTGTTTTCAAAAAAGGGATTATAATGACAAAAAATACATTTTATGGTTTTAAAAGAGCCATAACATGAACATAGATCTAGTAAAATTATCTATACAATAGAAAACAGAATTATTAAGAGGAAACATTAGGCTTCTTGATGCATTAATTCCACTTGCATAGGAACACTTGTTCGCGAGATATTGTTTCTAAGAGAAGAAAAATCAAGGGTAAATTGTGACAAAAAATTTCAACGAGCCTCTGTCAGCCTAGCAGCAATACAAATGAATGGAGGTTGGGCTACGCCCACGCTTCCGTTTCCTATCCCTGTCATTTAATATCTATGGCGCAGCTATGGCTACTATTTTACAACTTGATGATTTGGATAACGTCAAAACTGAGCTAAGACAGTTTTCTGAGTCTGACTGGAGACGATTTGGATCGGAAACTGGCCTCAGGAAGAACACACTTGATAACATAGAAGCCAATAAAGCAAAAGTTGAGGATCGTTTAGAAGAATGTTTGGCTTACTGGCTGAGAAGGAAGGATAATGTTGATAAACAAGGAAAGCCGTCATGGAGTAGATTAGCTGAGATATTAGATAAACTTGGAGAAAGAGCATTGGCTGATAAAATTAGGGATAGAAAACTAAGAAAAGGTAAAATAACTTGGAGCAAAAATGCATGGCTTTACATAATGTATTTAAGAATTTTCTAGTGATGGATCTAACCGAGGATCTAACCATGAAGAGAAGCGAGTTGAGCCTGCTGCTACTTTTGGTCACAGCATTTATCGTGAGTAGTCTATATTTTTACAGATTTTATGTCTATTATTTTTAGTTCCTAAGTTTCTAGAGGATGAGTATCTTCGGATGACAACTGAATTTGCAAATATACTCAAGCGTTTTGTTATTCAGGTTTTTAAAGAAAAGGAAAAATTGAAAGGTGTCCAAATGTCATTGGTTGGTATTAG